CAATTGATACATTAACTCCTAGGAAGAAGAGTAACAAGGCTAAAGAGGATGAGACTCTCATGCGCGATTTTATTAACACGATGTCGTTCTCAATTCAAATCAGCGTGTAAATGAACGTGTTGGGCATTGGAGTGAGACCATGGTGAACGCTCTAATGACACATGAGAATGAGTTTTCTGAGGAGACATTGGATAAAGTGCTTGATTACTTGTATGACCATGAATCACATTAAGCTTTGAGTATGTTTGAAAAATTCATTTGGGGGTGTTTGTTCAAGTGTTTTTTGAGCTAATGAATTTATTGATAGTTTCTCAATTAACTCATTTAAATACCATTTAATTACTTAATGATGTAACTAATTTTGTAATTTGAACACTTAGTGTTTTTGAACACATGTATTTTAGTGTTTATAAACACATGTATTTTAGTGTTTTTGAATATTCCTGAGTTTTCATAAATGGTAAGAGCAAATTGAAAATTTTCTTTTCCAACATATTCATATTCATGCTTTTAAACTTTTTCCAAAGTTTTACATTTTTTAGAATTTATTTACTATTTTTTAAATGAGTTTAAAATTCAATTTCATAATTCAATACAGGCTAAAAACTGGTTATCAGTCGACTGGTCAGTCGACTGATGAAATTGCCTGCATTTATCAAAAGTCTTTGCTTCTATGCTGGTCGACTGACAAGTCGACTAATGAGTAATCAGTCGACTGATCGTGCTCATCAGTCAATTGATGAGCTGCCAGTTTCATATAACGGTCAGGTCATTATTCGACTGATCCGAGCCGTCAGTCGACTGATAAGCCCCAACGGCTATTTTTCCAGCCTTTTGCAGTTTTGTCTTTTTGCTGGATTTTCTTGGGTTTTGAGCCTTGGCTTTCATGCTATATATACCCTTTACTGTTCTCTTCTACAATCTAATGAATTCATTGTTTACAGGTTATAAGTGGGTTTTTTGAGTTTTACGGATTTAGCTATGATGATTGGTCACATATTGATATTGCCGACGACAATGGAATTTCATTGTTTACAGGAGGCATTCATGAATGAGAATGCAGTCTATATTGCTTTTACAATTTTTAGATGGGGCAGTCCATTATTTGAATGCAATCTGCAATGCAATTTCGTTATATAGGTGTTGAAAATAAAATGACCATTTTCTGAGCCCCTATGTTTATTTATATTTGCATTTTATTATTTATATTTTTTAGGGTTATTTTATGACCGTTTATATCCGTTAGAGTATAAATTTCAAATTCCAAAATTTGTAATGCTATAATTTGAGTTTGAAACAAAAAAAATATTACAAATTATAGTATTCCAAATACCAAAATATTGTTGAAACAAACAAAGTTTTAGGAATCCCAACACATAACAAAACATCTATTGATTTGAAATCCTATGATGAAATCAATATCCTAAAATTATAGGATTTAAAACAAACACCCCCTTACTTAATTTAGAGCTCACAAGGGCTTACTGTTCATATTCTGATGTGAGCAGTGAGTCTTCAGTAATGTACAGGAACTTGATCTTATATTGAAATTATTTACCTCACAGTTTATTTCGATTCGCAGCGTAGGCAACAAGTTTTCCATTCATCAGTAATAATAACCCATCATTAATGTCATTTGTCCTACAAATAAGAGATGAGACAAAATGCACACATAATTTTCTTCCCTGTACCTAAATTAAACAATTCATATTAAAAATAACAATTAAAAAAATAAAGGAAAAATTGCTTCAAGGCCCCAAAACTAAATTGGTGATGTGTCCCAGCCCCTTGAACTTTTTCTAATGTGCTTTTTCCCCAAAAATGAAAAATCCATGTGAATCAGCCCCATTTACAATTTCCAAGACAAAAACTTCCCAAACTACCCTCTTCTTCTTCTCCAGATCTTCTCTAGATCTACTCCTCTTCCTACAAACCCATCTCCTCTTCCACCCTCTCTCTAACCTCACTCGAAACCTCCAACACCGCCGCTACCTCCGTCACCCCTGTCTCTACCTCGCTAGGGGGTTCTGCAAGAACGGCAACAGGTGCAGGTTCCTCCACGACCTCAACGAGCTCGACGCCGCAAAAGGGCCCCCCCCCCCGCCACCACCGCCAGGTTTTCGTACCCCCTCGGGCAGCTTGCCGATGTCCCCGTTGTTGCCCATGAACCAGAGGTAGGTGAACGGCGGCTGGCCGAGTTCTTTTTTTAGGCTTTCGACGGTGGGTTCCGTGGATTTTGATGACTCGTTTTGATTTCAGGGCGGCTGCGACGACGTTAGGGGTTAAAACTGATTTGGGTTCTTGTTATTTTCTATAGTATTTATGGGCCAGTTCAAGATGTGAGGATCCCCTAATCTCAACATGTTGGGGCTTGGATGTATATCAAAATCAAGAAAGAAGTAATAAACTCAAGGTGTGGTATATATAAATGTTGTACAAATTTGTGATGGTGATTTCTTGTGTCTGCTGTTGTTTGTTGTCATGTAAGCTCCAGTTGAACTGAGAAGGAGTTTGATGTTGTTCTCTGTGCAGTTAACTGTTGTGGTTAGCATGTTAACTCTTGTGTTTAACATGTTAACTCTTGTGGATAACATGTTAACTCTTATGGATAACATGTTAACTCTTGTGGCTATATGTTAACTCTTGTGGATAACATGTTAACTTTTATGGATAACATGTCAACTCTTGTGGATAACATGTTAACTCTTGTGGCTATATATTAACTCTTGTTATAGTTAACATGTTAACTCTTGTGTTTAACATGTTAACTCTTGTGGATAACATGTTAACTCTTATGGCTAACATGTTAACTCTTGTTGATAACATGTTAACTCTTGTGGATAACATGTTAACTCTTGTGGCTATATATTAACTCTTGTTATAGTTAACATGTTAACTCTTATGTATAATATGTTAACTCTTGTGGCTAATTTGTTAACTCTTATGGCTAACATGTTAACTCTTATTGATAACATGTTAACTCTTGTGGCAAACATGTTAACTATTGTGGATAACATGTCAACTCTTGTGGATAACATGTTAACTCTTGTGGCTAGTTTGTTAATTCTTATGGCTAACATGTTAACTCTTGTGGATAACATGTTAACTCTTATGGATAACATGTTAACTCTTGTGGCTATATGTTAACTCTTGTGGCAAACATGTTAACTATTGTGGATAACATGTCAACTCTTGTGGATAACATGTTAACTCTTGTGGCTATATATTAACTCTTGTTATAGTTAACATGTTAACTCTTGTGTATAATATGTTAACTCTTGTGGCTAACATGTTAACTCTTATGGCTAACATGTTAACTCTTGTTGATAACATGTTAACTCTTGTGGATAACATGTTAACTCTTATGGATAACATGTTAACTCTTGTGGCTATATGTTAACTCTTGTGGATAACATGTTAACT